GATCATCCTGATCTCCAGCAGATCCACATCCCACCCAGCTCTTCCCTGAGGGTGATCCCAGAACATCCCTGAAGATTAAATGGGACCATTCCCAGCGCTGAGCCCTGGGGAACCGCCAGGGCCAGGCCCCAACGGGAGGCAAACCCATCCCGTCTTTCCAACTTCCAGCTGCACAAACAGCCCAGGAAAAAGCAGAAGAACGTCCACTCTGATTTAGAACCCCAGTCCTGAGGAGTGACCGTGCATTTTGGGATCTTCCTTTAAAATTCCGCGTCCCAACCGAGCGTCTCCAGACCTGCACTCAGCGTCTGGTGATCCCAAAGTCCGGCAAAAATCCTCAGGAATAATCAATCTCTTCCCAACGACCACGGACACCAAACTGCTCCCCACCCCTCAAACCTTCCCTGGAGATGGGATTCCAGAGCTGCTGAACTGCCTGATCTTCACCACTGAGCCCGTAAATGCACGAGACTCCTACAAGCCATGAGATTCCTACAAGTCCTTTCCCCTCTCCTTTTCCAAGCCGGGAGGAAAACTATTTATAGTTTTCTCCTCTGACCCGAGGAAAAAAAGCACAGCAGTTACCTCTCCTTTCAAGCTGCACTGCAGCAGATTGTTCGGTTCCTGCTTCCCAGCAGCTGCAGAGCTTCTGCCTCGCTAAATTAAACCCCGTAATCATCTTCCCAGCAGAGATATTTACAGATCACGGCTCCTCTCGAAGCCACGCCGACCAGCCCTTCAAATCCTCCAGCTGAGCCCCACGGATCGGGCTGCTTCTCCCAGCTTTTCCAGCTGGTCCCCCCGCCGGGGTTTGGGATCAGAAGTGATGTGGGTTTTAGAGCAGCAACAAATCCAGGGAGGAGGTTCCAGCAGGAGCCCCCCAGACTGCTCCGTTCCCTCCCCTGCCGGGATCTGAAGTGAAGATCCCGCCAGCGGGAGGGGATGGAAGCTCCAAATCCTGGCTGGGCCCTCTGGAGAGAGGCTGGAGAGGGGGGGATGATTGAAGGGGCAGCAGCTTAAGGGAGAGACATTAAGTGGGATGGAAAGCCCAGCTGGGAAGGGAAGAGCCTGGAATTCCTCCCCTCATCTTTTCCTGACCGCAAGATCCAGGTGAGATGGCACAGGCAGGTGTAGCCTGGAGGATTATCCCTGTTAAATCCCGAAAAACATGGGGCCAGAGGCACAGACTGGTGTGGGAATCCAGGGATATGGGAAGCAGCCAGGGAATTTACAACTCCTGGATGCAGAGGTGCCTTAAAAGCTCTTTAAAAAAAAAAAAAAGGGGGAGCTGGAAAGAGGGAAGCCCTGAATCCTCACAGGAAAAGTCGTGGTGGGGATGTGCCCCTGCCCACACAGCAGAGCAATCAAATCCCTTTGGAACTGAATCACAAAATCATGGGATGGCTTGGGTTGGAATGGACAGGAAAGAGCAGCTCATTCCAGCCCCTTCTATTATCACAGGGTGCTCCAACCTGGCCTGCAACACTTCCAGGGGTCCAAGGGCAGCCACAGCTTCTCTGGGAATTCCATTCCAGCCCCTCAACACCCTCCCAACCAGCAATTCCTTCCCAATCTCCCATCTCTCCCTGCCCTCTGGCAGCAGGAAGACATTCCCTGTGTCCTGTCCCTCCATCCCTTGTCCCCAGTCCCTCTCCAGCTCTCCTGGAGCCCCTTCAGGCTCTGGAAAGGGCTCCAAACTCTCCCTGGAGCTCAGTGTTTTCCTTGAATTCTTTGGAGCTGCATCCCACAGGATATGTCTGATGGGAGACTGAGAACTCCAGCCTGGAACCATCCCAGCTCCATGGAATCATCAAATCCCAGACTGGTTTGGGATGGGAAGGGACCTTAAAAACCATCCATTCCCACCCCCTGCCACGGGCAGGGACACCTCCCACTATCCCAGGTTGTTCCAAGCCCCGTCCAACCTGGCCTTGGACACTTCCAAGGGATCCAGGGGCAGCCACAGCTTCTCTGGGCACCCTCAGTGTTGTGCCACGTTTTGTTCAGGAAGTGGGACATCCCAAAATTAAAAGGAAGAAGAACTTGGGGTACAACTTTACAGGAGGGGGGGCAGGGGCAGAGCAGAGCAGGGCGGGGGGGGACACTCCAGGGAAAAAAGGTTGGGAATCCATCCCTCCTGGCTGCAAACACACCCCCCAGCTCCTGCCTCCCCTTCTCCCCCTGTTTTTATTTG